CCTCCACAGCCTGCAGACACTAGAGCCCTCCTGGCTGCTCTGAAGATCTCCCAGGATAAGGATAAAGGGTTAAGAACAGTGTTGTCCTTTGAAAGTTTGCTACACGTGGCAGTCTCTCCCCTTGGAAATCCCTGGGTGTGCTGGTGTACTCACTCTGTCCTCCTTGCTTCCACAGCTCCCAGGCCTTGATCCTGTTCATGCCATAATGGTGAGCGGATCCTCCTGAGCCAGCCCGAGCTCAGCCTGGAGGCCCCCCCCCCCCCCCCAGGCCTAGAGAGGACCCAGACGTAGGGAACCCCTCCCAGGCCACTGACAGTCTCCTCAGCACTCCATCTTCCACCCAACTTCCTTGCCAGCCTGACTCTCCCATATTTATGGGTTGGCCTGACCACTATATCAGGGCTTTCAAACCTGGGATTGGTTAGGCTCCCATAAACATGCAGATTTAGGTCTCCACCCCTTCCACCCACTGGCTTCTGAAAGCTTCCATGGTCCTCCAGAACCAGATGGAGGCGACTGAGTCCCAACCTGTTAAGTCATCCAGCCTGACCTGCAGTATCCCACCCTAGTTACAGACTCACATAGTTATCATGAATCATACACAATAAATTTACCTACACTAATACTAGTAGCACACTAGAAGCTGCTACTGGTATATTGTACAGTACATAGTTACATTGGCAAAAAAAAGTACAAATACACCATGCCTGGAATTCTTCCTTAATAGCACGCTGGTCCTGTGGTGTAAGATTAATCACTACTACATTGTTTGTATAACTTCCACCACAATGATCCATTGTCTCTATTTGCGTAGACCATGATTACTACTTTCAGTAGACAATTGCTAGTGGTTTTAGTAACCTGATTAAGCTAGTACAAAATTGGCCGTGTACTTCTGCCTTAAATGTGATTTCCTGCAAATCAGTCTGAATTAAATGCCAACATTAAGCCTAGGTTCACACTACAGCGGTGCGGTAAATCCCATGTGATTTGCACAGGTACCGCACTGCATTCCTGTGCAAATCACATTCGCACAGCACCAAAAATGTGCAGGATCCTTTTTTTGGTCCGCACTAGAATTGGATCGCATAGGTATTCACACCTATGCGATCTGATTCTGCGTTTTGCGGACCAATGTCAGGGTGTTGTTAACTTAACATACACACCCGCATCGGTTCCTATGAATGAGGTGCGATTGTGATGCGGTGCGGAATTCGCACTGAAAATGCTGCAAGGGAATCAAAAGGTGCTGATTAAGCACGTGCTTGTTTTTACACCCTAGTTAACCTCTACAGGTTGATTAAAATACAACTACACCTCAAAGACAGCCATAGATGGAGCGATTTTCTTTCCTGCAACCTCAGTCAGTGTTGATGGGGGAATCCCTCCCGTAGAGCCATTGTGTTCTCCTGCCGGAGACGGCTCCCCCTTGCACAGTGATTACTGCTAGTGGCTATAATAGCCGCTAGCAATAATTTCATGTAAAATCCAACAGGTAAGTTGTACCCATCGATCAATCAACTTGGCCACATTAAGCCTGCCCGTACATGGTTCGAATCTTGGCCAGTCCCTGCTGAAGCGGTCGAGATTCTAACCATCTATGGCTTGCTTTAGGCTGAACTCTAGGCAGAAAAAACATTTATTAGAAATACATTCCTCAACAGCCACAAAGGATATAAATCCATTTTGTGTGCACCATATGCCTTTACAAATCCAGATATTACCTTCTAAGTGTAGCAGTGACATCACCACTGTGCTGTACATAATCTGTGCAGGGAGTAGAGCTGTGGGAGGGGCTCATAAGCTCTACCCACTACAGGAGAGGGCGGAGACAAGACCAGTCACTTTGCACAAGGAGAGAGAGCAGCAGCGATCAGTCTTTATTACAGGAAGCTCCTTCACAGAGGTAACGTTTCACATTGGATTACTGCACACAAAGCACACCAATATTCAAGCAAGTATGCACATGGCTCTTGTATTTAGACATTTGTTTAGCCCAGAGTTAAGCTTCTCTATAAAATCCCCCAACTGTCCCCTCTAATCTCCTAAACTAAATTAACTGAGATACCCCTCCCCAATGCATATTTATCTGTCTGTGGCAGTGGTGGACACCCTTACAGTAGGGACCAGGGGCAGACTGACCATTTGGGCACTGCACAAGGACCCGGGGTCTGTAGGGGACCCCATGAGATGCCCTTGGTACCTTTCATAGGCTTTTTTGGGTGTGATTTGAGTGTGAGCTAGGACACAGGGGCCCCATGATCCCCTATTGCCCGGGGGCCCCATGAGTTGTCAGTCCACCCCTGGTAGGGACGCTAGGAGTTCGGTGCCATTTAAATCTATGAGGAGTAACTGCAAGTGCATCCTGTGCCAGAGAAGATTTCTGCATAGAGTATGCAATCACAGAAAGGTAAGTATGCACTGGGGTGGGTGGATTCCAGGTTACATTTGCTTAGGAACTAGGAGTGGGTGCTGAGGGATTTATAGAAAATAGTTGTTTATCATAAGTAGGCCTGAATCAGTTGCATCACATATAACTCCAGGTCCATGTAAGTCAATGCTGAGTCATGATAACAAGCACAGTGTAGGTTTACTCATAAGTGGGAAAATCAAGCTAGAATAATAGCGTGTGGGGGTACAGCTCTGGAACAGTTAAAGTGTCTCTGATAATTACATCTGAAGACCTCATTATGTGGAGAATTATTTGTATGGCTGAGTAATCAGGTCCATGGGTATACTGGCGCAGCCATGTGTGGGGACTTCAGTGCAGAACTGAGTGTTCAGTACACAAGGTGATGACATCATCACATGCACTGTCACTGTTAGCATACCGCTGTGTGACAGATGGCAGCTGTCATTGTATGTGGAATCAGGCTGTCATAGTAAGCAATGTGTAGAAACAAAGTGGCACCATTATACTTATACTTTGATATAATATATAGACTATATACACTCACTGGCCACTTTATTAGGTACACCTTGCTAGTGCCAAGAAAATAGCCCCCTCACCATTACATCACCACCCCCAGCCTGAGCCATTGAGGACAAGGCAAGATGGATCCATGCTTTCATGTTTACGCCAAATTATGACCCTACCATCTGAATGTCGCAGCAAGCAGTCTGCCCATTCTCCTCTGACCTCAACAAGGCATTTTCATCCACACAACTGACACTCACTGGATATTTTCTCTTTTTTCGGACCATTCTTTGTAAACCCCAGAGATGGTTGTTTGCGAAAATCCCAGTAGATCAGCAGTTTTTGAAATACTCAGACCAGTCCGTCTGGCACCAACAACCACGCCACATTCAAAGTCACTTAAATCCCCTTTCTTCCCCATTCTGATGCTCGGTTTGAACTTCAGCAAGTCGTCTTCAGCACGTCTACATGCCTAAATGCATGGAGTTGCTGCCATGTGATTGGATGATTAGCAATTTGTGTCACCAAGCAATTGAATGGGTGTACTTAATAAAGCGGCCGGTGAGTGTATATTATATTATATATATTTATATAGTGTGTATACAGTGCTCAGCATAAATTAGTACATTCCAACAGATTTGGCAGAAAATCTTCAGCCATGGGTTCACACTGATGCGGTGCAGAATTCGCAGCGTTTTCAGATTTGGCACTCCGTTCATGTGAACCGCTGTGGGTGTGTATTTTAAGTTAACACCTTGAAAGCGGTCTGCAAAACGTGGGGCGAATAGGTGTGAATACCCATGCGATCTGATTCTAGTGCGGACCCAAAAAAGGGTCCTGAACGTTTTTGGTGTGGGTGCAGTGTGAATAGAGCCATACAAAATGTATGGCTCCAATTGCACCGCATACAAATCACATGTGATTTGTACAGAAATGCAGTGCGGTTCCTGTGCGAATCACATGCGATACACCGCACCGCACATATGTGAACCCGGGCTTACTTTTCTTTCAGAATCAAAATTTTCTATGGGACACTGTACTACAAAATACTCCCACAAATGCGGGCTATTGATTTCAAACAAGATTTTTTAATTTGCACAAACCGAAAAAGTATTTTTCCTAACAAATTAATTCAAGACTATGTTGCCAAAACGAATACACCCCAATGAAAGTTTTAGGAGCAAAGCTAAATTTTAGACAACAAAATCCTAAATAACAAGAATTCAACTACAGGTGAGTCTAACTATTCATTAAACAGGTGTCCAGCAGACAGTTAATTATAAAAGGGCGTTACCCCACTTGCCCTCCAAATGTTCTATAAAACTCAGTTTTTTTCAAAATTTTGGAAATTGTTCTTGTGTTCATTGAAATATTGATTAAAATCTTACTTTTCAAAAGGAGTGTACTCATTTATGCTGAACACTGTATATATGTATGTATGTATATATATATATATATATATATATGCAGCACAGTTGCTAAATGGTAACACATCCGCCTGGCAGTACTAGGGTCGTTGGTTCGCATCCTAGCCAGCACCACCTGCCTGGAGTTTGCAGGTTCTCAATTTGCCTGCGTGGGTTTCCTCCGGGTACTCTGGTTTCCTCCCACACTCCAAAGACATGCTGGTAGGTTAATTGGATTCTGTCTAAATTGTCCCTAGTATGTGTATGTATGAATGTGAGTTAGGGACCTTAGATGGAACGCCCCTTGTGGGTTAGGGACTGATGTGAATGTACAATATATATGTATAAAGCGCTGCGTAAATTGACGGCGCTATATAAGTACCTGAAATAAATTATATATATATATATATATATATATATATATATATATATACACACAGAGTATATATATATATATATTTATAATTCCTGTAATGGACTGTAAAAAAAAAATAAAAAGGTTTACTTACCTATATACTAGCGGCTGTTGTCAGCTTCAAAGCAGTCCCCTTGTGCAAAATTGCACTCCATTAGATGACTGTGCCACTGCCAGAAACATCCTGGAATTTGTTTTCCAGAACACTGTGCAGTTTCGTTGTCTCAGTGGATTTTCCTGAAATCAAATCTGTGTCTGCAACCAGGGGCGGACTGACCATTTGGAAACTCGGGCACTGCCCGAGGGCCCGGGGTCAGTAGTGGGCCCCCTGGTACCTTTTTCATAGGCTTTTTTGAGTTTGGGCAATTACACAGGGGCCCCATGATCCCCTATTGCTCGGGGGCCCCATGAGTTGTCAGTCCACCCCTGTCTACAACCCAGATGAGTGCAAGTTAAAACATGTCGGAACACGCTTAATAACAATAATAATCTATATTGTCCAACCATTCATCCATATCCATACACCCCATATCAACAACCCCCCCACACACACACACACAAACACCTTACATACACACACATTTTTTTTAAACCACAGTGTTGTTATTTTTGCATTTTTATCATTCACCGAATAGACGTACTTCTGCAACTAGTATGACAGTATTACTTGAGTATTGGCTACCCCATTGGGTGTCCAAAATTGTTCAAAGTGATCCCAGAATACAGAGAAACAGCTCCCTCTAATGGTCACTAAGGAAAAACTTCTAGCAACATAAAGACATAGTTTACCCCCTTCTTCCCGTGAAGTATATCTAAGGTGCATATTTATAAAGTGGTGAATAAGACAAACATTTACTGGTGGTGAATGATTGGATATAACTCAAAACATATGCACCTGCGGTGAATATTTGGTGAATGTCCCATTCACTGCTTTATAATATGTCCCTAAGTATTATGTTATGTACAAGTGGTTAAAGGCAAACCTTGGCTCTGCTCATAAGATTCTACCACATGGTGGAAATGGTGCATTGAATGGAATAATAGGATACAGTCCACATCTAGGCATTCCAGTCTGGTGTGTTTTGAAAAAAAAAAAAAAAACCCTGCTAGCTACATTTTGTTTTCCATTAGAAAAATTATCCACAGGGATTAATAGTACTACAGTGAAGGAAATAAGTATTTGCTCCCCTGCTGATTTTGAATGTTTGCCCACTCACAAAGAAATGATCAGTCTAAAAATCGAATGGTAGGTGTATTGTAACACTGAGAGACAGAATAGCAACACAAAATTCAAAAGAAAAATGCATGTCTAACAAATGATGCACTGATTTGCATGTTCATGAGGGAAATAAGTATTTGATCCTCTATCATTCAGCAGGATTTCTGGCTACCAGGTGTCTTTCATACAGGTAACAAGCTGAGATTAGAAGCAGACTCTTAAAGGGTGTGCTGATAATCTCATTTTGTTATCTGTATAAAAGACACCTGTCCACAGGAGCGATCAATCAGATTCCAAACTCTCCACCATGGCAAAGACCAAAGAGCTGTCCAAAATTGTAGACCTACACAAGGCTGGACTGGGCTACCAAACCATCCACAATCAGCTTGGTGAGAAGGTGACAACAGTTGGTGCAATCATTCGCAAATGGAAGAAATACAAAACAACTGTCAGTCTCCCTAGGTCAGGTGCACCATGCAAGATCTCACCTCTTGGAGTGTCAATAATCATGAGAACAGTGAGGAATCATCCCAGAACTACACTTGAGGATCTTGTCAATGATCTACAGGAAGCTGGGACCAGTCACCAAGAAAACAATTGGTAACACACTACGCCGACAAGGATTGAAATCCTGCTGTGCCCGCAAGGTCCCTCTGCTCAAGAAAGCACATGTCCGGGCCCATCTGAAGTTTGCCACTGAACATCTGAATGATGCAGAGGAGGACTGGTTGAAATTGTTGTGGTCAGATGAAACCAAAATCAAGCTCTTTGGCATCAACTCGACTCGCCATGTTTGGAGGAGGAGGAATGATGCCTATGACCCCAAGAACACCATCCCAACTGTCAAACATGGTGGTGGAAACATTCTGCTTTGGGGGTGTTTTTCTGCTAAGGGGACAGGACAACTGCACCGCATCAAAGGGACGATGGACAGGGCAATGTACCATCAAATCTTGGGTGAGAACCTTCTTCCCTCAGCCAGGGCATTGAAAATGGGTCGTGGATGGGTTTTCCAGCATGACAATGACCCAAAACACACGGCCAAGAAAACAAAGGTGTGGCTCAAGAAGAAGCACATTAAGGTCCTGGAGTGGCCTAGCCAGTCTCCAGACCTTAATCCGATTGAAAATCTGTGTTGGGAGCTGAAGGTTCGAGTTGCCAAACATCAGCCACCAAACCTTAATGACTTGCAGAGAATCTGCCAAGAGGAGTGGGCCAAAATCCCTCCTGAGATGTATGCAAACCTGGTGGCCAACTACAGGAAACGTCTGACCTCTGTGATTGCCAAGAAGGGATTTGTCACCAAGTACTAAGTCATGTTTTGTGAAGGGGATCAAATACTTATTTCCCTCATGAACATGCAAATCAGTGCAGAATTTGTTAGACATGCATTTCTTTTGAATTTTTTGTTGCTATTCTGTCTCTCAGTGTTACAATACACCTACCATTCGATTTTTAGACTGATCATTTCTTTGTGAGTGGGCAAATATTCAAGTAATGTGTATAGAAATTGTTAATAAAAAGCAATGTAGTAAAATGCACAAAACATTAGAAATATCCAGCGCTTACCAAAGTAAGCTCAGAGACACTTCCAGATGATTTCAACAGACCCATATCCTGCAAGAGACAGTCCAATATCCAGCAAACAGACAGCCCCATATCCAGCAAGAGACATCCCCCATATCCAGCAAAAAGATGGCCCAATATCCAGCAAGAGACAACCCAATATCCAACAAAGAGACATTCCCATATCCAGCAAAGAGACAGGCCCATATCCAGCAAAGAGACAGGCTCATAACCAGCAAGAGACATCCCCATATCCAGCAAAGAGACAGGCCCATATCCAGCAAAGTGACAGGCCCATATCCAGCAAAGAGACATGCTCATATTCATCAAGAGACATCCCCATATCCAGCAAGAATACATCCTCATATATCCAGCAAAGAGACAGCCCCATATCCAGAAAAGAGACAGGCCTATATCTAGCAAGAAACATCCTCATATCCAGAAAAGAGACAGGCCCATATCCAGCAAGAGGCATCCCCATCCAGCAAACAGCTAGCCCAATCCAGCAGACAGCCCCATATATAGAAAAAAGACAGCCCATATCCAGCAATGAGACAGGCCCATAATCAGCAAGAAACATCCCCATCCAGCAAAAAGACAGCCCCATATCCAGCAAAGAGACAGGCTCATATCCAGCAAAGAGACAGACCCATATCCAGCAAGAGAGATGTCCCCATCTAGCAAACAGCTAGCCCAACCTAGCAGACAGCAAAGTCCAGCAGAGGGACAGCCCCATCCAGTAAATAGACAGCCCCACATCCAGCAAAGAGACAGCTCCATATCCAGCAAAGAGACAGTTCCACATCCAGCAAAGAAACATCCCCATATCCAGCAAAAAGACATCCCCCATATCCAGCAAAGAGTCTTATATCCAGCATGAGACATCCCCATATCCAGCAAAGAGACAGACCTATATCCAGCAATAGACATCCCTCATATCCAGCAAAGAGTCAGGCCCATATCTAGCAATAGACATACCCCATATCCAGCAAAGACACAGGCCCATATCCAGCAAAGAGACATTCCCATATCCAGCAAAGAGACATCCCAATATCCAGCAAAGAGACAGGTCCATCTCCAGCAAAGAGACAGGTCCATCTCCAGCAAAGAGACAGGTCCATCTCCAGCAAAGAGAAAGGTCCTTCTCCAACAAGAGACATCCCCATATCCAGCAAAGAGACAGACCCAGATACAGAAAAATACAGGTCTATATCCCGCAATAGACAGCCCCATATCCAGCAAGAGACAGCCCCATATCCAGCAAAGAGACAGCCTCATATTCACCAAAGATACAGGTCTTATTCCACAAGAGGCAGCCCCATATCCAGCAAAGAGACAGCCCGTCCCATATCCAGGAAAGATACAGGCCCATATCCAGCAAAGAGACAGGCCCATATCCAGCAAAGAGACAGACCTATATTCAGCAATAGACATCCCTCATATCCAGCAAAGAGACAGGCCCATATCCAGCAATAGACATACCCCATATCCAGCAAAGAGACAGGACCATATCCAGCAAAGAGACATCCCCATATCCAGCAAGAGACAACCCCATATCCAGCAAAGAGACAGCCTCATATTCACCAAAGATACTGACCTTATTCCACAAGAGACAGCCTCATATCCAGCAAAGAGACAGCACGTCCCATATCCAGCAAAGATACAGGCCCATATCCAGCAAAGAGACAGGCCCGTATCCAGCAAAGAGACAGACCTATATCCAGCAATAGACATCCCTCATATCCAGCAATGAGGCAGGCCCATATCCAGCAGTAGACATACCCCATATCCAGAAAAAAGACAGGCCCATATCCAGCAAAGAGACATCCCCATATCCAGCAAAGAGACAGGACCATCTCCAGTAAAGAGACAGGCTCATCTTCAGGAAAGAGACAGGCCCATCTCCAGCAAGAGACATCCCCATATCCAGCAAAGCGACAGGCCCATATCCAGCAAATAGACAACCCCATATCCAGAAAAAGACAGGTCCATATCCCACAAGAGACAGCCCCATATCCAGCAAAGAGACAGGCCCATATCCAGCAAAGAGACAGGCCCATATCCAGCAAAGAGACAGGCCCATATCCAGCAAGAGGCAGCCCCATATCCAGCAAATAGACAGGCCCATATCCAGCAAAGAGACAGGCCCCCATATCCAGCAAAGAGACAGGCCCATATCCAGCAAGGAGGCATCCCCATATCCAGCAAAGAGACAGGCCCATATCCCACAATAGACAGCCCTATATCTAGCAAACAGACAGCCACAAATCCAGGGAAGAGATATCCCCATATCCAGGAAAGAGAGAGGCCCATATCCAGCAATAAAAAGCCCCTATCCAGATAACAGATCGTTCAATCCAACAAAGAGAATAGCCCAGTCCAGCAAAAAGACAGTCACAGGCACTGCAAATTCCCAATCAGCAACATTGTTAATTAATTTACCAAAAAAAGGCTAAAAATTTGTCTCCACAGAGACTTGTCTCCTACACAGTCGATTTGCTCCACACCTCTGCTGCACAGCGATTTCACTGGCTCAGTGGCACCAAAAAAAGCTTCCGGTCTGCAGGAAGAGGCTTAGCAGAGTGCAGGTCACTCTGCCTTCCGCTCTCTCAGGCTGCAGCCAAAGTTGAGCTGTATTGCCTGCC